TGGAATACTTTACATCATAAAGGCAGTCGTCAAGTCTTTTAAGAACTTTATAAACATAGCTAAAATTGCCTCATCCTATTTCCTGATAGTGGAGTAAGAATGAAGATCATACAAATTCTACGCACCACAAATACCTTGATTTGATGGAACTCCTCATGGTAATGCAATGAAGAGCCAAAAGTGGAGACACATCCTGTATGAAAATACCAAAGTTATGAAAGAAAAATGAAAAATAACAACATACCCTACCTAGCCCTCTCAAGAAACACATCAGTGTTAAAAAAAGGTTCTGGAAGCATGGTGGGGACATGATGGGCTGTTGCAGAGACAATGTCTTTGCATTCTCTGCTTCTTGGTTCAAATATTCATCTAGGAAAAGAAGAACAGAATGAAAAAAAGCCGAGTGATGGGGAAAAACAGTGAGAACTTGCGATGGGGTTCTTGGGAGCAAAGACACCACAAAGTATTGGAAAAACCAAATCAGGAAAAGAATGAACTCTTGGCATTTCAGAAGAAGAAAAGAAAGTAAACTAGAAGACATTAGAAGAAAGTGCAAACATAAACAGTACTAGGACATGGTTCATTTCAGTGGCATTGACACAGCGCCTCAGATTTGGATCGCGAATCAGCAGCAGCAGCAGGGTCATAAACCCTAGAAAAACATTACAAAACAAAAATAATTTGCTCAATATGCAACAGGCGCAATCATGGTTAGCCTGCTCTCCACACTGTTCTATCATTGGATAGTTGGCAAGCAATCACCCAACAGGAACAACAATGGCGACTCATTTTTCACAGTGCTTTCTTTGCTTGTTAACACTTTGCATGCGACACATGTTACAAAGCCTTCCATTGGCCAGGAGCAAACATCAGCATGATTATTCACTAGTTAAAAAAATAACCCTTTTACAGTTCACATTGAATTGGCTAAATTGGTGGTCCAAAAATCCCTCCTTATTATGATAGATTGCTGGAAGTTTAATTCTTATTTGGACACTAGCTTTCTCGTCTGCCTTCTTGGCAATTGGTCGAAGAGCCGCGTGGGACATGCTATAAAAGGGGACCCTTCATCCAATTAAACCTCAGTCCATTTGCATTTCTAACTTCTCTTCTCATGGCCATGGCTTGTCACGATCAAGATGTAACACTGCTCAGCTTTTGGCCCAGCCCCTTTTCCATGCGAGTCAAGCTTGCACTGTTGCTCAAGGGCATCGAGCACGAAGATCTCCCCCAGGATTTGGGTAACAAGAGTAAGCTCCTACTCGAGTCCAATCCAGTTCACAAGAAGGTCCCGGTTCTCATCCACAAGGGCAAGCCCATCGCAGAGTCGGCCATCATCGTCCACTACATCGACGAGGTTTGGCCTGGAACATCGCCACTCTTGCCGCAGGACGCATTCCTCCGCGCACAGCACCGCTTCTGGACTGATTTCTTCGAGAAGAAGGTATTTCTTCGAGAAATTTGCTGCTATAACTCTTCTTGCTTATCGATCACGCAGATTTCCGACTCCTTGGACCGATTCATCCGCAGCAACGGCGCTGCCGTGAACGAGGAGTTCATCCAAGACTGTTTGCTTCTCGAGGGAGCTCTGGCGGAGCTGGGCGATGAGGAAGAGGGCCCCTTCTTTGGTGGCGCGAGCATGTCGTTCTTGGATGTGATGCTGGCACCCTCTGCGGTGTGGATCCCAGCGCTTGAGCAAGTGATGGGCTTGAAGCCCACGAGCCAGGAGCAATGCCCGCGTCTCCACAAACTCTTCGGGGCTGTGACCGAGCATCCTTCGGCAAAAGTGGCACTGCCACAGATCGAGAAGCTCAAAGAGTTTACCCAGGCTCGCTTAGTGAGCGATCATCATGTTTGGATAGCTAAAGCCAGCCCTTAGTACAAAAAGGCTGAACCTCTAGTTCTGTCGAAAATGAAGCGCGAGCATGGAGATTGGGATTTTCAGATCCAAGCAGCCCAAGAAGGTCAAAACGAAGGGTGAGATTACTACATGTATTCTACCACCACCTCTGGATCCAAACAAGCCAACGTTGGTTTTGGATATGGACAACACCCTCATCCATGCCCGACAGGGGCAACGCTTAGGCTCTTCAGCGGGAAAGTTGTGTAACTGGAGTGCTTGGCTATGCGGCCTGGTGTGGACGAGTTCCTGTGAGACATGGCAAAGCTCTACAAGATAGTTGTGTTTACTGCAGCTATGCAGTACTATGCAAACAAGATTCTGGACAAGTGTTAGGCACCAGGTCAGGATAATAGGATAAAGAAAGGGCCTTGCAATCAAGTGATCACCCCTTTAGCCAGTTGGTTTAGGGTGTAAGGGATAGGATCCTAACAACAAGCTTGACCCTGAGGAATTGATCACTTACTGCCTATACCGGTGTGTCTTGCAAAGGAGGGGAAACAATGATCAAAGACTTGTCACACTTGGGTCACAACTTGAAGCGTGTGGTGATCCCCACTCCTTTTCCTTGCAGCCCAGGAATAATTGGAAAGGGTGGAAGTATTCGTATCGCATCTCAAGGATATTGGGTTTTTCCTGGAGACTTTTGCTAAGGTGGACTAGCAATTGACCATATTGCATAAGTTGTTCAATTCTTCCCCATAATGTTGTATTAGAGCTTTATCTTGCACCATGGTAATAATTTTAAATGCCATTCACCTCAGCTTTTCATCATCATCTAGTGTGATCTATTAGTCTTAAAAGACAAATATGTATTAGTATTGTGTAACTCATTGTAGAGCCTTAAGATGTTCAGCTAATAGTAAAGTATCCTATCTATTTCCTCAATACTACACTAGCCTCAACCTTGTAGAGTATATGATTAAGATTTTTTGTTAAGCAAACAATAATGGATATACCTAAAATATGCTTGGATGTTCTAAAATATTCTATCATCTAACTTATTAACTTTCTTTAAAATATAATAAATATTTCCTTTTTTAAATATGTTGATTTTAATTTTAATTTCCCTTTTCTAGCGAGCATTTTATTCTTCAAGAGTGGACACAGAACTAGAGCCAATGAGAGCAAACAATGTCTTCATCTTTTCCAGAGTTTTAGTGGATAAAGTGAATGTTGGCGTGAAAGAGTTATAACACACAAACTAAGAGGAAAATGAAAAGTTGTGAACTTTCTCATTATGCAAGTTTATTTCACCATGTAGGCCAAGCCATTAGCATGCCAGAGCACTGCATCACTGACAACTTTTTGGGCATATGATATCACCAACAAGAAATTGAATGTAAATCTTTCCAAGAAGAAAATCATCCCTATCATTTGTTTCCCTTTAGCTTCTCCTTATGTAGGAAGGAGTTCAAGACTGCTGCTGAGAAGATCAAAGGCCTCTAGATCTTGAGAGTTACCAACATCACTGTTACTCTGAGGGATATAAACATGTTGGGATGGAGCTCACTACAGTGCATAAGAGGTCACTAAAGTGTCGCCGGTTGAGAATCAAGCTCATTTCGCCCATTTTTCAACAGTCCAACTACCCAACTAATCCAACTACCCACAACACCACTGGATGAGCAAGTGTTGGCTCATTAGTTTGTGAGCCAGATTTGTGATTGGGAAGTATTGGGAATTTTGAGAGTTGGAATGCTGGGCAAGGGTGGGATGGCTTGTGCTTTCATTTTTTTTGAGTTCTTCCTCATCTCTCAACCACTGCCAAGAGTTCGCAGAGTTACAATTGTAGATTAACTTAAGGATGAAATGAGTTAAACCACCAGTTGACAGTGCCGTGAGGAACAGCGATAGCATCGCCTTTCTTTACATTCGCCGGGACTCTCCGCAAAAGTCAGTCCTACTTTACCATTTCCTGAACGAAGAGAGGAAATCCCGGAATTTTAGCATGCATGAGAAAAAAATTCACATACTAGAAAATCAATCTCTTACCTTCGAGCACATAAAAGATCTGATTAGAATTGGAGTATTTCGGCATCAGCATTGAGACTGAAGCGTGACGCCCCAACCCGAGCTTCCTTCAACATCTTGGAGTGGCTGCCGAGCCAAAACTCATAATCCCGCCATTAGAAAAGTGGTCAGGACAGGTTTACTGAAGAAGTATTTTGTGGAAAAAATATAGCCCTCTGAAATTTATTACCTGATGTTGCGAGAGGGGAAATTGCAGTAAAAAATCAATTTATCTTTGAATTAAAATGGATTTGTTGTTACAAATTTATCCACGGGAGTTTATTTCCAGATCAAGTCGTTAATGAACAGGAGCGTGGTAAATTAAATCTAATTTAACCTTTAGTTGATTATCCAAGTTAAATTCTTACAAATTGGTTACAATCAAGTTATCTTTTTTTCCTACCCTAATAGAATATCCGTCACACTGTTCACGAGATCATCTGGTAAAAGTCTCCAGAATTTACCAGCGGTCAATGTCGTGCGGCGGGTAAGAAGCTTTGAATTTGCGCTCTTCCAAAGGCACGTTTTCTTCTTTCTAGGTCTTCCTCTTTATATCATTCCTTTCTTCGCGATCGAGGAGCTCTTTCGCGAGCGCCGGGCGAGGGATTCTCCATTCCAAAGTAAGCGCGCACGCGAGAATGTCAGGGATTGATGGATCTTGAGGTAGATTATCGTTTGGTACAAGGCATGAGCAATTCGGGATCTTCTCCAGCGGGAGCACCAATCGATCTTGCAGGAGGAATCGAGAAGGTATACGAAACCGGCATTGATTTTTCTTGCGTGTCGATCGAGCCCCTCAGATTTTTCTTCCAGGAGTCGAAGCTCCGAGGAATAGCCTGGATTGTCCAGTCCCGAGTTCTCGATGGATCCCCGTAAGTGTTCTTTGCTTTTATTTTTTCTTTCTATTCGTGTGTCTCACCATATGATCTTCCAGTTTGGCTTTGAGATTCCAGCTGCGAAGCATAGCGTTCTTTCAACGTGTGCAAAAGCAAAACCACCGGGTGTAGTGGCAAGACTTATGGGTCTCGAGACAATGCCGGTAGAGACAATGGGTGACATGCTTAAGAGGAACGGCTCTTCGTTGGAAAGGGCGAAGATGATAGAAGCTGTCTCGCGCAAACTCTCGAGACACAGTCGCAAGCTGGCCAGTTTTCAAGAGCCACAAAGTCAGTGCTGGGCGAGACTTTCCGGGAGGGAACAACACCGAATTACTCTCCGAGGGTTACGCACCGATCCCGGCAGCTTTTGGAAGCGATGCGGTCTCTCGAGCCGAGTAAGGACAGCTTTCTCCAGTTTGAAAGTCCAGTGGAGCCTGTGAATGAGGAGCCTTTCAGGGGTTTCATGGGCGCCGCAGAGAGAAGTTCTGGCGCACAGGGCAGTAGCTGGATTCGTGAGCCACTGCGGATGGAACTCGGTCCTGGAGAGCGTCTCCAGCGGCGTGCCGATCATCTGCTGGCCTCGGATATACGAGCAGGGGCTCAACCGCAAGATCATGGCGGAGAGCTGCCGCATCGGGGTGGAAGTTTGGGACGTGAGGAGCTCCGACGCGTTTGTGAAGCGGGAGGAGATTGCTGAGGCCATTGCGAGGATCTTCAGCGACAAAGCTCGAAAGGCGAGAGCGAGGGAATTCAGGGACGCGGCGAGAAAGGCAGCGGCACCGGGTGGTGGCTCTCGGAATAACCTGATGCTATTCACAGACTTGTGTTCTAGCGACACTCGATCGTGATCTTTGGCTTCGGTCTAACAAACTGTGGTCGCTTTGATCTACCAGTGCAAGATCTCAGTTGACAAAATCAAATTCTTCTGCTGTCTTGAAGCCGGGGTTCCAAGGATCTTTCTAAATCAAACAGTGAACAAGCTCGGGACAGCCCCGGGTGGTGGGCTTGGGAATAACCGGGTTAAAAACTTCAGTGTTCTACCGACATTCACGAAGATCTCTTCTCGAATATCTCTTCCCAGTCAATCGTGACCTAACAAAGGTACAAATTATGTTCTGGAACTCCCCTCGCTCCGTGGATCACACGGACTATATAAAGCGCGACTCCAGCCTCTCGCATTTCCAGATCTTTCTTCTCGATTTCCAATTCCAATGGCTTCTAGTGATCAAGATGTAACACTGCTCAGCTTTTGGGCCAGCCCCTTCTCGATGCGAGCCAAGCTTGCACTGTTGCTCAAGGGCATCGAGCACGAAGATCTCCCCGAGGATTTGGGCAACAAGAGCAAGATCCTACTTGAGTCCAATCCAGTTCACAAGAAGGTCCCGGTTCTCATCCACAAGGGCAAGCCCATCGCGGAGTCGGCCATCATCGTCCACTACATCGACGAGGTTTGGCCTGGAACATCGCCACTCTTGCCGAAAGACGCATTCCTCCGCGCAGAGCACCGCTTCTGGAGCGATTTCATCGACAAGAAGGTATGTTCTATAAATCTCGAGAAATCTACTCGATCTCACGCCTTTGCTTGTACAGCTGCTGGACTGCTTGATGCGTTTCGTGCGCGGGAACGACAAAGATGCCGCAAACGAGGAATTCATCGCCAACTGCGTGCTTCTCGAGGGGGCCTTGACGAAGCTGGGGAGTGAACAAGAGGGTCCCTTCTTGGGCGGCGCGAGCTTCTCCTTCTTAGATGTGATGCTCGCTCCCTACGCCCCCGGGGTTGTGGGAGTGATGGGCTTGAAGCATGCCAGCGAGGAGCAGTGCCCGCGTCTCCACAAGTTCTTCGAGGCCGTATCCGAGCATCCCGCTGCCAAGGGCGCACTGCCCCCGGTCGAGAAGCTCAAGGAATTAATCCGAAATAAGTAGAAACCTTTGCATGAATAACACTTTTCCAGCCATATCTTGATTGAGCATATGGTCATTTTTAATTGATAGCTAAAACATTGATCAGACAACATAATGACAATGTCACTACTGTTTGGATTGATCGCATTCTACAATTCTACTGTTCTCTCGAGACCTCATTTTCCAATCCATTCCGGATCCATGGAAAGTGTGACGCTGCTCAGCTCCCGGGTGAGCCACTTTTCTCTGCGAGTAAAGATTGCATTGCTACTCAAAGGCATCGAGCACGATGATCTCCCCCAGGACCTGAAGAACAAGGGCCAGCTCCTGCTCGAATCCAATCCAATCCACAAGAAGTTCCCGGTTCTCATCCACAACCATTGTGGTTATTGTTCAGTACATCGACGAGGTCTGGCGCGGAGAATCTCCTCTGCTGCCTCCGGACGCTTCCCTCCCCGCAGAGTATCGCTTCTGGACGGATTTCATCGACAAGAAGGTATGTGTCTCTAGAGCCACACATCCCTGATGTGATCCATCGCACAGCTTCTGGATTGCTTGATGCGATTCATGGCGTTCTCGTCCTTCGTGAAATTCGGGCTGGGACGAGATGCCATGCGTGGAGACGCCAAGAACGAGGAGTTTAGCGAGAACTACGAGCTTCTCGAGGGAGCATTCACGAAGCTGGGCAATGAGGAAGAAGGCCCATTCTTTGGCGGCGCGAGAATGGCGTTCTTGGATGTGATGCTTGCCCCCTACGTGGTGTGGATCCCAGGGATTGTGGGCTTGAAACCCGCGAGCCAGGAACAGTGCCCGCGTCTCCACAACTTCTTCCAGGCCGTGCTCGCGCATCCCGCTGCCAAGCTCGCGCTGCCCACAGTCGAGGCGCTCAAAGAGTTTCTCGTGGCTCGCTCCGCGGTGTACAGAGGAAAGTGATTGAGAGAAAAAGGAATATGCTTAATTTTATTAGAATATTCTTTTACGTGGTAGAGTACATACGTATCTCAGTCCGTCTGCCTTCTCGGAAATTCACATACGAAACAAGCCCACTCTTGCCGCAGGACACATTCCTCCGTGCATGGCACCATTTTGGACCGATTTCATCAACAAGAAGGGACGCTTTCTCTTCAGAGTGTCAAATCCTTGATATGATCTATCCCACAGCTTGTGTGGAGACAACCAAGGTTAGCCATCTCTTGAAGGCAAACATCTTAGATTTGGTGCACTTTTTATTTAGTGTTTTTCTTTGATTTGAAACTTGGCAAATGGTCATTGCCCAACCTGTGATCTCTCTAGAGATGTTCTGAAGAGCACAAAATGGCAGACCTCCAAATGCACACACAAATGAGGGCAATAGGACAAGTATTGCCAATGTTCATGGTTTGTGGAACATACTCTGGTTTGCCAAAAAAAAAGAGACCAATAGTAGAAACATTGTTGTAAGCACTCAGGTGAAGTGAGACATTGGGTGATAGTTAATTGGGATATCAATCTTTTGGGTGAGATCATCAGATAAAACTCACAGACGTAAGAATGCTCTTGTGGCACATACCCCATAAGTGGTTTCAAAAATATAACGTCATGCTACTAAATTTTGTTTCCCAAAAAAGAAAAAAAAACAGTATTATTTCCCATTAGTCATTGCCCAGCATATGCTGCCCAGTTAGCAAACATTATTTAGTTCTATTACATTAAAAATTAAATTAAAATAGTATTAAAATAACATATATGAAGAATTGAAAAAATAACTATATGCATATGTTTTTTCATAGAAAATTATCAAATTCCTTAAAGAGAATTATAAGATCTAAATAACACAGCAAATCTCCACTACAAAAGGTTGAATGTTAATGCTGATCAATTGGCCACCTCCTATTAGCTAAAAGCAAACATTAACATCATTATTCATGATTATTTGATTATTTGAGGCCAGGCAGGTGTTTCAGAAAAACCCAGTGAAGAATCTTGTCAGCTGAAATGTTGCTATTGCAGCAATTGCCGTGGCTAGGGATCTGGAGGAGGCATGGTGATTGTTTGATGGGATGCCTTTCTACAGTCTCATGTCATGGATAACGATGATCACTGCCTATGCAGATTGCGGAATGGTTGATAAAATGAAAATTTTTTTTCTTGCACTGGCACATAGAGACGTCATCTGTTGGAACATGATGCTTTTGTGCTATGCCCAAAACTGGCATCTGGAGGAAGCCAGTGCCCTCTTCAATGAGATGCCAGAGCGAGATGTTTCGTCATATACAACAATGATATCAGTTTTGGCATCAAGAAATGATTTAGAAAATGTGAAGGATCTATTTGATTCTATGCCATTACGAACTATAGCCTCTTGGAACTCTATGAATATGGAAAATGCCACGAATGGGCAAATGGCCATTGTTTTCTTTGAGATGCTCGAGTGGGACTGCTGCTCATGGAACAGCCTCCTGGGTGCGATTGCAGAGTCTGGGAGGATCAATGATGCAATCATGATATTTCAGAGAACCCCTTTCAGAGACACAACCTAATGATCACAGCAATGGGTTCTCGCGGCCATATCCGTGAGGCTCAAGCTCTCTTCGCTGTGATGCCACAGAGAAACCCTGTCTCCTGGAGCACAATGATCAGAGCTTATGCATAGTAGGGACTGGCCATGGACACAAAGATTTTGTTTGATTCCATAGAGTTGCACAACATGGTCGTGTGGAACTCACTCCCTAGCTGCCTACCTCACGAGTGATTGAGTGGGCAATGCTAGAAAAGTGTTTGATTCCATGCCTGATCGAGACACGGTATTGTAGACATTGATGATCTCCACCCACACCATATGGGGCCAGATGTGCACTCTTCAATTCCATGCCGCAGTGTGTTGTGGCGGCATGGAATGCAATCATCTCTGGCTACATGAGGAGCAACAATCTCGATGAGGCGCAGCTCCTCTTTGGTCTGATGCCCCATCGCAATGCCCTGACGATCAATGCCATGGTCACAGTACTTGCATTTGGTGGCAGGATTGAGCAGGCCAAGCTCCTCTTTGATTGATTTGCATCGCCCAACTCCGCAATCTCCATGCTCAAGGACTAGGCGAGGCATACGCTCAGTCCGGGAGGATCAAGGAAGCTAGGGTGCTGTTTGATCGCTTGAGCCCGGAGAGTTAGGACTGTAGCACGATCAGAGTGATCATCGATGCATATGCCTGGATTGTGGATGTCGCGGAAGTGCGGCAGATCTTCTCTCAAATCAAAAATCTAGTCTCTTGGACAGTAGTGATCACTAGCATCACCCACAATCCCAGATTGCATTGATCGGCACTGGATCTTTTCCGTGAGCTCCAGCAGGAGGGCTGGAACTCCAGCTAGATCTGCTACAGAACACATGTATGCGACATGCATTGCTGCACCTTCCTCTCCCACCCCACGCAGCTTGGCCACCTCCCATTGGCCAGGAGCAAACATCAGTGTGATTATTCGCAAATATGTGGTTAAAAAAATAACCCCTTTATAGTTACCCCCGGCTGCGATTGGCTGGATTTGGCAGCCCAGAAAGTTTAGCAACTCCTGATAGACTTCTTGAAGAGTGCATTCTTGAGAGCTTGAGCAGCCAAGGGGCAATTTTTTGCTGCTGGATGCATCAGAGACTTGATGAAGCTCTGGAATGTAAGAGAGAATCCAGGAAGAAGAGCGAGCTTTCCCTAGTGGATGGCTTGATACTGCCTTCCAGATGCTGGTGGTGGAGCATCTCATGAGCTTGTAGAATGTCACCCCCAGGGAAAACATGTCAACTTTGTCAGGGTGGCTGTGATCATTGTTGATGAACTCCATTGGGAGATATCTCAAGTTGCCATCGATTCAACTGGCAAGGCATAAGTTGCCAATCTTGTAGACATGATTGCAGATGTAGATCTTGTCAAGCTTCACGTCCAGGTGAGTATGCGAGTGTAAGTGCTTGAAAGTGTTTAAGAGTTGTCATAAGAAAAAAACAGAATTGAGCTGTTTACTTGAAACATCGCCTCAGTTAGCTTCTTCTCCTTGAATGTCCATGCAAGGCTCTCATCTCATAGATTCATCTCACACAGCTCCATTTGGATATATAAAAAGTCATTCTCGAACCATGAAAAGAAGAAGTGCACTACGTTTTCATGGCAACCTGGAAGCTGGATAAGTTTTGAGAAAGCTAGTGGTAATACTAAAAGAAAAAAGCCAACTCACCAAGACACAAAAGTGCCTGAACTTCTCTCAGTGCTTTCCTTTTGCAAAGAGAAAAATTTGCCAAATCAATACCATCATCTCTCGAATATAGTGACAAACCGATCTCCCTCATTTAGCAAATGCCAATTGGAATACTTTACATCATAAAGGCAACCGTCAAGTCTTTTAAGAACTTTATAAACATAGCTAAAATTGCCTCATCCTATTTCCTGACAGTGAAGTAAGAATGAAGATCATATAAATTCTATACACCACAAATACCTTGATTTGATGGAACTCCTCACAGTAATGCAATGAAGAGCCAAAAATGGAGACACATCCTGTATGAGAATACCAAAGTTATGAAAGAAAAATGAAAAATAACAACATACCTTGCCTAGCTCTCTCAGGAAACACATCAGTGTTAAAAAAAGGGTTCTAGAAGCATGGTGGGGACATGATGTGCTGTTGCAGAGACAATGTCTTTGCATTCTCTGCTTCTTGGTTCAAATATTCATCTAGGAAAAGAAGAACAGAACAAAAAAAAAGCCGAGTGATGGTGAAAAAAAGTGAGAACTTGCAATGGGGTTCTCAAAAACAAAGACACCACAAAGGCATTTAAGAAGAAGAAAAGAAAGTAAAATGGAAGACATTAAAAGAAAGTGTAGACATAACCAGTACCAAGACATGGTTCATTCTAGTGGCATTGACACAATGCCTCAGATTTGGATCACGAATCGGCAATAGCAGCAAGGTCATAAACCCTAGAAAAACATTACAAAACAAAAACAATTCACTCAACATACAACAGGCGCAGTCATGGTCAGCTTGCTCTCCACACTATTCCATCATTGGATAGCTGGAGAGCAATCACCCAGCAGGAACAGCAATGGCGACCCATTCTTCACAGTGCTTTCTTCGCTTAACAATCAACACCTTGCATGCAACATGTGTTGCAAAGCCTTCCTCTCCCCCCACGCAGGTTGGCTGCCTCCCATTAGCCGGGAGCAAACATCAACACGATTATTCACTAAGACATAGTTAAAGAAATAAACTTTTTACAATTACCCCCAGAAAGTTCAGCACTCCCTCTTTATTATGATAGATTGCTGGAAGTTTAATATTATTTGGACACTACCTTCAGCCTTCTCGTCTGCCTTCTTGGCAATTGGTCGAAGAGCCGCGTGGGACATGTTATAAAAGGCGACCCTTCATCCAATTAAATTAAACCTCAGTCCATTTGCATTTCTAACTTTTCTTCTCAATTTTCCATCTAGCCATGGCTTGTCACGATCAAGATGTAACACTGCTCAGCTTTTGGCCCAGCCCCTTTTCCATGCGAGTCAAGCTTGCACTGTTGCTCAAGGGCATCGAGCACGAAGATCTCCCCCAGGATTTGGGTAACAAGAGTAAGCTCCTACTTGAGTCCAATCCAGTTCACAAGAAGGTCCCGGTTCTCATCCACAAGGGCAAGCCCATCGCAGAGTCGGCCATCATCGTCCACTACATCGACGAGGTTTGGCCTGGAACATCGCCACTCTTGCCGCAGGACGCATTCCTCCGCGCACAGCACCGCTTCTGGACTGATTTCTTCGAGAAGAAGGTATTTCTTCGAGAAATTTGCTGCTATAACTCTTCTTGCTTATCGATCACGCAGATTTCCGACTACTTGGACCGATTCATCCGCAGCAACGGCGCTGCCGTGAACGAGGAGTTCATCCAAGACTGTTTGCTTCTCGAGGGAGCTCTGGCGGAGCTGGGCGATGAGGAAGAGGGCCCCTTCTTTGGTGGCGCGAGCATG